GCTGCTGCTGCTGCTGCTGCTGCTGCTGCTGCTGCTGCTCCTCCTCCTCCCCCTCCCCCTCCCCCTCCTCCTCCCCCTGCTCCTCCTCCTCCTCCTCTTCCTCCTCTTCCTCCTCCTTCTCCTCTTTCTCCTCCTTCTCCTTCTTCTCTTCTTTTTCTTCTTCATCTTCTTTTCTCCTCCTTCTTCTCTTCCTCCTCCTCCTCCTCCTTCCTTTTCTCCTTCTCCTCCTCCTCCTCCTCTTCCTTCTTCTTCTCCTCCTCCTCCTCCTTCTCCTCCTTCTCTTTCTTCTTCTTCTTCTTCCCTCCTTCTCCCCTGTGGAAATGGAATAGATTTGAGCCTGTTTGGGCCTCAAACTCAATTTTTTTTGTTGTTAGTTTGTTTTGGTACTAGGGCTGAACTCAAGGCCTGGACTCTGTCCCTGAGCTTTTATGCCCAAGGCTAGTGCTCTCTACCACTTGAGCCATAGCTCCACTTTTGGTTTCTTTGGTGTTTAATTGGATCTAAGAGTCTCATGGACTTTTCTGCCTGAACTGACTTCAAACCACAATCTCTCAGGCATGTAGTAGTAGATAGGATTACAGGTGTGAGCCACCAGTGGCTGGCTAACTTTTCTACCTTTAAAGGTAACCACATTCCTTGGTTTGTAACTCTTTGAAATTGAGAACTTCAAACATCAGTGTTGCATCTGTCTGACATTCTTCCCTCAAATTTATCTAACTCCAACGTTCAGGACCTTTGTTATCATTCCTACATTGTCTGCAATTACTTGAACCATTTATTTATTTATTTATTTATAGCAGAAGTTAAGGACTTAACATTTAGCTAGTCCTGAGCTAGGGAATAGTTAACTGTGACTGCTGGGAATGTCCCAGTTTGTTGTAGCTGCCAAATTTTTTGGCATAAATACTCTGAGTCTCAAGCTATCAGTAATAAATTCAGTAGGTTTTCAAATTTTTCTGCGAAGACTGAGAAGGTAGCCAAATGGTCAAGCCTCACATGTGTCGCCATGGTCTTAACCTCCAGACAGCAGAACTAAAAACAAAAAGGGAGGAATGAGAGGGAAAGAGGGAACAGCTTACACTAAGCAAAAGAAAAGAAATGTAAACTTCACCTGATGTGGAACAAATAATTGTATTGTCAAAGCTCATAGAATTCACAGATTTTATGGACCATGATATAAAGACAATTTGCCTTGTGGAGGTTAAAATGTGTTTGTGACTTTAAGTATCACTATTCCACAATACTGTGAAATATGTGAAATTTATGTAATCGCCTGATCTCAATTTTTTAAAAAAAAAGGAAAAGTGAGAAGGGATGGGTTAGGAGTGATGGGTGAGAATGTTTTCAGACACCTTGTATTGATATACTCTTTTGTAGAATGGGAACTTCTTTGTACAACTACTGAAAGATACTAATAAAAAATGAGTTAAAAAAAAAAAAAGGCAGCAGGGCATTGGTGGCTCACGCCTGTAATCCTAGCTATTCAAGAGGCTAAGATCTGAGGATCACAGTTCAAAGCAATCCTGGGAAGGAAAGTCCGTGAAACATCTCCAATAAACCACCAGAAAACAGGAAGTGGCTCAAGTGGTAGAGCACTTGCTTTGAGCTGAGGAGCTGAGGGACAGTGCCCAGGCCCAGAGTTCAAGCCCCATGACCAAAAAAAAAAGCAAAAATTCTACATTTCCTGAGAATGTAACCATTGCTCCAGTATAACACTGAATTTAATCCTGTTAAAGTTCACCTTGCTCAGAACCGTGCAGCCTTCTGCTGCCTGTTGGCAAATAAATGATTTCCATTGATCTTCTTTGCTTATTTCGTAGGGACTGTACCAGCTTGCTCTGGATATCATAACGATGATCCGAGTGTGTAAAATGTTTCGTCAGGGCCTCAAAGGATTCCGGGAATATCAAATCATTGAGGCTGCTCACAGAACGCACCCTATCTTCTCCTTCTGGGATGTAAGTATCTGAGCTTAGCAGGATTATTAATATTTAAGGTAGTCTAATAAATAGCATCCCACTTCTTAGCTTATGCTAAGAGAGAGACGAGAAAGGGTAAAACAGGTGAGAACTCCACCTGTCACCTTTATTAGTCAAGCAAAAGAGTTACCTAATATGGAACGCCAATATTATCCCTTTTTGCAGCAGTGGATGAAGCCTGTTTCCAGTGTCTTGTGTATCCAGGATTATAGCATGAACCACCATTCGTGATTTAGGCTTTTTTTTTTTTCTTTCTTTCTTTTTTTTTTTTTTTGCCAGTCCTGGAGCTTGAACTCAGGGCCTGGGAACGGTCCCTGAGCTGCTTTTGCTCAAGGCTAGCATTCTACCACTTGAGCCACAGCACCACTTCCAGCTTTTTCTGTGTATGTGGTACTAAGGAATCAAACTCAGAGCTTCATGCATGCTAGGCAAGCACTCTACCACTAAGATACATTCCCAGCCCAGATTTAGGCTTATTTTAAGATGATATTCTGGTCAAACTGAACATGAGATCGGGAAGAGATGGAGTGGAGAAATTATAACTTGAAAGATTCAAGTTTGTGCTCAGGAAAAACATTCTATTATCAAGGTGGCATGCAAAAGAGACTGAGTGGTCCTGGGGAGGGGAGGGGTCAGATGACTGGTTTCCAGGAGGCTGGAGTTGGTATAATTTGGAAGCTGATAACCCAGTGTAAAGTTTGGTGTGAGGAAATGTGAAGCCAGAGCCAACCACATTGCCCAGCTACATGGCCACACACCAGAAACCTTTCAAGGACAGCACAGGGTCAAGTGGAGTAAGCTACTAGAGTCTGAGTGTTTCTGAGCATTGCCTCTTCATAAGCTTTTTTTTTTTTCTGGTTGGTCGTGGGCCTTGAACTCTGGGCTTGGGTGCTGTCCCTGCACTCTTCAGCTCAACGCAAGCGCTCTACCGCTTGAGCACCACTTCCGGTTTTCTAGTGGTTTATTGGAGATAAGAGTCTCATGGACTTTCTTGCCCAGGCTGGCTTTGAACCGTGATCCTCAGATCTCAGCCTCCTGAGTAGCTAGGATTATAGGCCTGAGCCACCAGCACCCGGCTTTCATAAGCTTTTCTGAAAAGCACCACATGGATTGATTCACAAATGATAAGTAAGGAGTGGGGAGAAAGCAGGGACTGGGTGGGCTCCAAGGAACGGTTTGAGGTATGCTCAGAGAGGAGAATGGTTTCCCTGGTTTTGTCTAGGGTGCATAGGTTTGTCTTTTTACTTTTCCCTTTTCCCATTCCTTCATCTTCTCTTTCCCCATCCTTTGTTCATCTGTCAGAAGATAGGGTTGGATTACTTCATCTCCGAGATTGCTTAGACAAAGCTTTCAGTTCAGATTCCCAGTGGTCCTTGGAAAAGTCTTTTGCCTACCCTACATCCAGTGTGAGTCCAGGGGCTTGATGAAACCTGCTTTGTCCCAATGACTGAAAAGAGTAAGAAAGGAGCTTTGCCATGCTTGTCTTGCTATGGACACTTAACAATACTTGTCTTTATTTGTTCCTTTTTTTTTTTTTTTTTTTTGTCGGTCGTGGGGCTTGAACTCTGGGCCTGGGCACTGTCCCTCAGCTCTTCAGCTCAAGGCGAGCGCTCTACCACTTGAGCTACAGCGCCACTTCCGGTTTTTCTGGTGGTTTATTGGAGATAGGAGTCTCACGGTCTCTCCTGCCCGGGCTGGCTTTGAACCGCGATCCTCAGATCTCAGCCTCCTGAGTAGCTAGGATTACAGGCGTGAGCCACCAGCGCCCGGCTTATTTGTTCCTTTTTATCTCTCCTTTTTTTTTCCCCTCTATATTTTCCTGTTAGTTATTGCTTTTCCCTCTTCCTTTTTTTCTCCAACTGGCTGATTTCTCTGTACCCTCCATTCCCTTTCCCTACCTCCATTTTTCTCTGTCTTCACAATTCTGTTGTTGATGCTCAGCCCACATATAGGAATGAGTTGGGGTTTCAGCCAAGGTGGACATGATAGGGCCAGTAGATAAGAAGTTTCCCATGGCTCTCTGCCTGCCATAGTGAGACCCAAGTTCACAGATTTAAGATACGGAATTCTTATAGCCAGTCTTACTGATTCTCCCTCGTGTCCTGTTTTTTCTTTCAGAAAAAGAAGCAAGGCCGAATCACATTTGATACCCTGGACTTCATTGCAGAAGAGGTATGCATAGCTCTAGATTATGTGGGGAAGAAGCACTGTGTTGGGCATCAGGAGAGCTAATTTTGGCCCAGATTCTGCTAGTGATCCATTCTGTCACCTTGAACTAGCTATTTAGTTTCTTCATCTCTAGAGTGGCTGATCTCAGTGATACTGTCTAATCCTGGCATGCCAAGACTGTGAGCATCCTGAACCAGTTGTCACTGTATAACTGAGGGGAACCAGAGTGGGAGAATTCCTGGGTTTGGACCTGTGGGAAAATAGCAACAAACAGAATGGAATATGAAAGGAACAGAAGGAATAGAAAGTAGCCAGGTGGTGAGAAAGGCATTAGACTGTGTGTGCATTCTGGTTCTGTCCTTGAACTCTGAGAAAAATGCTGGGCAGACTTGTCCCACACCTGAATGTTGGATGTACTTTGAGCTTTCCCATTCTAATGAGGAATGCCTTTATATCTGTGTGAGGTTTGGGGCCATGTGACTTGTTCTCTGAATTTCAAGCATCTTTTTTTTTTTTTTTTTTGGGTCCAGTCGTGGCCTGAACTCTGGGCCTGGGCACTGTTCCTCAGCTCTTCAGCTCAAGGCTAACACTCAACCACTTGAGCCACAGTGCCACATCCGGCTTTTTTTTTTAAGCTTATGTGGTACTTAGGAATCGAACCCAGGGCCTCATGCATGCAAGGCAAGCGCTCTACCACTGAGCCACCTTCCCAGCCCTCAAGCATCTTTATCATCTTCCTCATACCCATTGAATTATGGAATATTAAATTTTAGAATCAAAATTTAAATTCAAAGAAATTTATCTATTTACAGGAAAAGCTGTTGTTCTAACTAGTACAGACCTGACTTGACCCCAGTCTGGAAGTAGGTATGTTTTTTTTTCTCTCAGGGAAGAGGAGAGAACAACTTTTACTGGTACCTGAACCACCAGTGCCATCTCTTACCATACCTCTTGTCCCCTTGGAGATAGGGCACAGGTATATTCCCTGCTTCTTCTGGGCACTTATTCTCATGTCCCCTCATGGATGAAGTGTAATCAGATAAGTTATTTCAACTATTCTGTACCTTCAGTTCTTCAGATCTGCCAGTGCTTGACATTGGGCATAGAAAGTTACTCATGTTTTACCCTTCATACAAGAGAAACCAAGGAACCAGGCGCTGGTAGCTCATGCCTGTAATTCTAGCTACTCAGGAGGCTGAGATCTGAGGATCGCAGTTCAAAGCCAGCCTAGGCAGGAAAGTCCGTGAGACTCTTAGCTCCAATAAACGACCAGAAAACCGGAAGTGGCACTGAGGCTCAAGTGGTAGAGCACTTGCCTTGAGCTGAAGAGCTGAGGGACAGTGCCCAGGCCCAGAATTCAAGCCCCATGACTGACAAAAAGGGGGAAAAAAAAAGTCTATGATCACAGTGTTCATGTGTTGAGGAGACAATTGAGTCCTGGAGCTTAAGGAGCCCTGTACTGTTGGCAAGAGATAGGAGAGGCCTTGATATGTAGCAGATCTACTCATAAACCTGCCTGAATCTCTTAATCTCCCAGTGATACTTGAGCTGCAGAGGATGCAATTAAAAGGGCATGCAAGATGCCTAGCTCTGTCCTTGGCATACAGTGAGCCCTCAGTATGTACTATTCCATGGAACAGGAGAATATACTAGCAGGAATGTGGGGAATTGCCAGCTATAGCCTTGTGTGTCATTCATTGTCTTTCTCCCCAGGGTCACTTCCCTCCAAGGGCCATTCAGATTACACAGAAAAAGCCTTCCTGGAGGACAGAGCAGGAGATCCAGTCCCTCTGCAACCTCCTTCAGGTTATGGATAGTTACCGGAACTATGATGAGCCCCTACAGATGCTTCTTGCCAAAGTCACACGCTTTGAACGGTTAGTGAGAGACCGTGGGGTAGGAGGAGTCCAGCTGAGTAGGGGTGGCAGGTCCTTCCCATACCTCTGAAGATACTAGCCATGAAATCTATCAGTTTACCTGAGTGATCACTGTTACCCTGGTAGCTTAGTTAATCTCAGTCATCTATTACTGAGACTGTAATTCTAGCTACTCAGGATGCTGAGCTCTGAGGATCACAGTTTGAAGCCAGCCCAGGCAGGAAAGTCTGTGAGACTATTATCTCCAATTAACCACAGAAATAAAAAGGAGAAAAAGAAAAATGGAGCTGTGATTCAAATAGTAGAGTGCCGGCTTGGGAAAAATAATATTCAGGAGCCAGGCACTGGTGGCTCTTGTCTGTAATCCTAGCTACTTGGGAGGCTGAGATCTGAGGATCGCGGCTCAAAGCTAGCCTGGGCAGAAAAGTCTGTAACAGTCTTATCTCCAATAAACTACTCAGAAAAAGCCAGAAGTGGTGCTGTAGCTCAAATAGTGAGCATATAGCATTAGCCTTGAGCACAAAGAGGCTTAGGGACAGTGCCCAGGCCCTGAGTTCAAGTCCCAGGACCAGCAAAAAAAAAAAAAAGGTACATTGAAATGAAGAGGACTGACAGTAACCCCTGAAAGGATCTATTCCTATTTCCTCACTTTTCAGTTGGGGAAACTGGGGTCAAGGTAGGGAAAGAATCATTGTATCACCCAGTGTCCTACTAATAATAGTACCACAGACTATGAAGTTGTAGAGACTAATTTCATCAGGGCCTGGTGGTTCATACTTGTAATCTTACCTTTTCAGGAGACAAATTAGAAGTTCAAGATTCTAGTCCAGCCCTGGCAAAAAGTTAGCAGAAAGGCTGGGCGTTGGTGGCCCACGCCTATATTCCTAGCTTCTCAGGAGGCTGAGATCTGAGGATCTCAGTTCAAAGCCAGCCCAGGCAGGAAAGTCCCTGAGACTCTTATCTCCAATAAACCACCAGAAAACTGGAAGTGATGTAGTGGCTGAAGTGGTAGAGCATTAGCCTTGAGCTGAAGATCTGAGGGCTATTACCCAGGCCCGGAGTTCAAGCCCCACAATGGACAAAAAAAAAGTTAGCAGAACTATTATTTCAGTAAAAGCTGGGCATGGTGGCTTGTGCCTGTGGTCCCAGCAACATATGGGAGGTTATAAGTAGGTAGGTAGGATGGATCTTGGTCTAACCAAGGCATGCCTGGACCAAAGCATGAGACCCTACCTAAAAAATAACTAAGGCTATGGACTGGCATTGTCTTTTCCCAGGTTTGGTCGAAGGCGTGTGATTGTCAAGAAAGGACAGAGGGGTAACAGCTTTTATTTCATCTACCTGGGCACAGTAGCAGTGACTGATGATGAGGATGGCAGCAGTGCCTTCCTAGACCCCCACCCGACATTGTTGCACAAAGGCTCCTGTTTTGGGGTAAGCCTAAGGGAAGGGACTTGCCTCTGGGTTGGCATGGGGGTGGGGAGGTCACGGGCTCTTGCTCCAACCTGTTGGACAAGGCTCTATCTTGCTTTATCAAATGCTAAATAAGTTGGGTCACGTAATGTCCAAGGCAGATCTTTTCCCACTTTATCCATTCAGAGAGGCGGTAACTTGGAAGCATAACCCCTCCAGCTTTCTCTCCTCTGGCATGTTCTGGCCTGTTCTCTTTTTCAATAGGCACTACAGATATAAGGACTATGAACAGGTTGTACAGCTCATACTTGCCTTTGTCCCTGTCCACCCAACAGGAAATGGGCCTTCTGAGTACAGCAGTAAGGAGGGCCACAGTGGTCTGCATGGAGGAAACGGAGTTCCTGGTTGTTGACCGTGAAGACTTCCTTGCTAATCAGCTGGATGAGGAAGTTCAAAAGGAATCTCACTATCGGTTTAGCTTTTTTAGGTAATTTCATTAAACATCTTTTTCCACTCTGTGTGTGTGTGCACATACTAGTACTAGGGCTTGAACTCAGGGCTTTCACTTAAGGCTGGTACTCTGCTTGATCCACTACTTCACTTTCTTTAATGGGGTTTTAATTGTTTTGGTCTGTGGGCCCACATTAAGGCCTAATTCAAATGCATGGCTGCAAATTCTAATAGACTTTGCAGTGGTATAACTTTGCATAAGACACTTCATTTCCCTAAGCTTTAGCCATCTGCTGTGTAAGATGAGAGTAATGATACTTCTCGTCCAATGTCATGGTAAAGATGGAGTGGGATGATGTTGGGAAAGTGTGGTCCAGTGCATGGTACATAGCAGGTATTCTTCCTGTGAGGTGGCCCTGTTTTTTTCTTTTCCTGACTCCAGATCCTTGTCCTCATAGACCTTGTTCTATTTTGACATTTGAACTGGACTTAGCGTCTTTGAGGCCTGAATCACCTTATATTAACCTGAGCTAATTCAGTCAGCCTGAGTCAGTTGGGTTTTGAGCCCATAAAGGTTGGAGCTGAGAAAAGTCTAAGGTGATTATTAGTAGCCCCACAAGCCCTCACAAGCACATGACAGGTTGCTGGTACACAAGATGAGAGGAGGGGACAGTCACCGCAGAGTGGGCCTTCAACCACAGGGAACAACAGGCAAAAGATTTCCTTCCTCGGGCTGGGAAGGTGGCTCAGTGGTAGAGCGCTTGCCTTGCATGCATGAGGCCCTGGGTTCGATTCCTCAGTACCACATAAGCAAAAAGAAAAAAGCTGGAAGTGGCGCTGTGGCTCAAGTGGTAGAG